GCATAAACTGGGTGTAGTGGTGCACACCTGTAATTCCAGCCCTTGGGAAATGGAAGATGAAAGCTGGAGGGTCGGGTGTTCAAGGCCACCCCGGGCTGCGTGCTGAGACTGAGGCCAGCCTGGACTATGAGACTCCTGTAGTTTTCAAAAGGCACACCCCCGGGGTGGGGTGGGGGTGAACATGAGATGCTGCAGAGTGCTCCAAGCTAGGGTAATTAACTCAGCCAAGTATACTGACAAAGAGTGGTACTAGCTAGTCAGACCTGGGGTGCGGTGACCCAGGCAGAGAATTTAACACACCAAGGTCCTGGGACAGGAAGCAGCTTCCAGGGTGTACCGAAGGTAGTGAGCCAGCTGTGATTGATCGAAGACAGAGTCTGCAGACAAACTGGCTCAGGACTCCTAAGTGACTTATTATAAGGGCAACACGAGGGCCATGAAGTGGCTTTCAGCAGGAATGGAGCACAAAGACTCAGAGGTAAGAGTTAAGAGGCAAAGGCTCCTTGTGGGAGGCAGAATACTCTGCTACAAACGCTGGATCTCGGCGTTTGATGTTCAGGAGGCCAGGGAGGCTGGGGTCATTTTCCATTCATTCATTCAGCCACTCACCTACTAACTCTTAGCTGCTGCCATTCTGTGCTGTGTGAGTTGAGATCTGGGGGGTGACAGATCACACTGTTCTGCTTTCAGTGTAAAAAACATGCAATCCAGGAAGGCCATTGGGTGCTCTATCAGGGTCACGGTGGTCACCTGAGAACATGGGACAGAGTGACCCACCGCCACATATGTGCAGGGGGAACAGAACATCCGAGAGTATGTGATGTCTGCATTTAAAGGACCAGCAGGTGTCTGATATGTGCTGATGGAGATGAAGGCAACTTGGGCAAGAACCCCATGGAAGCGAAACAGCATGATGTGCAGGAGGTGGGAGCGAGGGCGGGACAAGGACGATGACTCTGGGATGGCGAAGTCCAGTGGCAAACCTGGGAGGTGAGGTAGTGGAGGACCTACACACCCGAGTCTTAACAGTGACCTGAGTTCCAGGCTGAGGGTCCTGGGCTTGCTTCTAAGGGGACTGAGAGAGGAGGACAGCAGGACTGAACTGGGTTGGGGTTCTGGGGTAGACACAAGCAGAGGGACCTGGCTGTCACTCAGCAGGCAGAGGGAGGTTCTCACTGGTTTCATTTGCTCAGCAAATAATCCCTGAGGTCTGCACACTGGCCCTGTACGTAGGGATGCTGGGGATTAAGCATGTTCTTCTTTTTGCCCTGCCTCAGTGGGTTTCCAAGCTGAAGGGAAAACAGGCACAGAGGGCATGAGGGGAAAAGTGGTTGTTAATGGTACCAAGAAGTGGCAATGTGGGAGAACAGGAGGGGTAGACTTTGGAAGGGGAGCGTAGGGCCTGGGTAGGAGAAATCTGCTTCGGGGAGTCCTCATGAACGGCACACACCTGTCATTTTAGTACTTCTGAGGCAGAGGCAGGAGAACTGTAAATTTGAGGCTGCCCCCAGGCTAAGAAGCTGACTCCAGAAAATGTAAAGGAAGAGCTGGGAATGTAGCTTCGTGGGAGAGTCCTTCGGAGCATTCACGGTGCACTGGGTTCCATCCTCAGCATCATATAAACTAAGTATGGCAAGGAGTGCTTGTAATCCCTGCATTTGGGAGGTGTAAGCTGGAGGATCAGAAATTAAAGACATCCTCAGCCATATAGTGAGACTTAGGCCAGCCTGTGTTCAACACTGTCCCCCCCGCAAAAAAAAAAAGGGGGAGGGGAAGGTGGACAGAAATTTGCTCCCAGGCTCAGATGGAACTCAAAGGTGGGGAGGCTGAGTCAGGGACCTGGGAGGAAGTCTGAGAGGGCAGTGCAGGAAGGGATGCTGGGAAATGGGGAAAGGAATGAAACTGAGTGGCACTAGGGGTGGAGGTGGGGTGCTGGTGTAGGGAGGGTGACTGGTAAAGAGACTGGGCTTAGTGAGAGGTGAGGTGAAAGAGACAAACGTGGAGGACACAACTGTCCCGAGGCATGATGGGATCTGTAGTCCAAAGGTCAAACCCAGAGCAAAAGGGAGGTAGGGAGTGGGCTGGAGGTGGGTGAAGTGAGGGACAGGTGAGGAGGGAGGGCAGAGACAGAAGGCAAAGACAAAAAAGGAGATCCTGAGAAGGGAGGGTCATGAAAGCTTGACAACCAAAGGTAAGAAGTTGCAAAGACAAAAAACAGGAACAGAAAACCAAATCCTGGAAGAGGCAGGTAAGAAGTCCACCAGGCATAGAGGAACAGGCTATCTTTAAAGAAATTGACTTTTATTTGAACAGGGTATCACTGTAGATCAGGCTGGCCTGGAACCCACAGAGGCCTGCCTCTACCTCCTGAGTGCCGGGATTAAAGGTGTGCCGCCATACACTGCCTATCTTTTATTTTAACATCGGAGGTAAACTGGGCTGGAGAGGTGGTTCAGTGGTTAAGAATGCTTACAGCTCTGTCAGCTGAGGACCAGAGTTCAGATCCCAGCATCCACATCAAGTGGCTTATAACTCCAGACCCAGGGTATCCAACACCCTCTTCTGATCTTCATGGATATACTGCCTCAGACAAGAGCATGTGAGTTCTCTCCTCTCTCTCCACTCTCTCCCCCTTCTCTCATGCACATGGGACATGCATACATGCACATACAATTAGAAAAAGAGAAATACTCTGTATGCTAGCTAGCCCTGGTGGTGTAGACCTCAGGAAGCTGAGGAAGGAGGATCGCCTGCTTAACATACTGAGTTCAGGGCCAGCTTGGTGAGACCATGTTTCCAATCAAAAAGCAAAGAGAAGGTTGATGATGCAGTCCAGTGGTAGAGCCCCAATGAGGGGCTGGGGTGTGGCTCAGTGGTAGAGCACCTGCCCAGAATCCCCCAGTGAGGGGCTGGGGTGTGGCTCAGTGGTAGAGCCCCTGCCTAGAATCCCCCAGTGAGGGGCTGGGGTGTGGCTCAGTGGTAGAGCCCCTGCCTAGAATCCCTCAGTGAGGGGCTGGGGAATGTGGTTCAGTGGTAGAGCCCCTGCCTAGAATCCCTCAGTGAGGGTCTGGGGTGTGGTTCAGTGGTGGAGCCCCTGCCTAGAATCCCCCAGTGAGGGGCTGGGGAATGTGGTTCAGTGGTAGAGCCCCTGCCTAGAATCCCCCAGTGAGGGGCTGGGG